ACGCCCGGCGGCGATGGCATCTGGCGGATGTGGGCGGGGGGCCCTGGGCAGGGCTGCCTTCCTCACCCGGCGAGGCCCGGCCCACTCCTCCCGGCGCTTCCACATGCCCCGGCGGAGCCTGGACCTGCTGCCCACAGAGAACTAGGAGCAGGCAACTCCTCACTCTGTCCGTGGGGAGGTTGGTGGGTGCACCTGTCTTCTCTTCCTCACTGGGAACCACTTCCAGATGTGGAAGCTGTAAGGGTGGATCAGCCTTGCTATTCACTGCATCCCAGGTAGGCATCCCCCAGACTTCCCCCACTGTCACAGTCCATGTTCGTTGTTCCAGCCCCACTGGAGTACTTGGCTAACTCGGGCACTGTGGTTCTCATGGGTGTGCCAAAATCCTGCCAGCATTCCCCACAGTTCTGTGTCCTTCTTGGGAGTAGGGCTTCAGCATGACATGGGGTGTTTCGTTTAGGAAGGGTGATGCCAGCACTGGCAAACGGCAGCTGTTTCCCATGGGTGCCTACAGGAAGGGCCTGGGCACCCTGAGTTGTGATGGGAGCATGTGCAGGGATGCCAAGGCAGGTGTGATGGCTCTGGGCATCACCTACACACCCTTCATGGGCAGCAGGTCGAAGGAGGTGATTCTCCCCCTCTACTCTGCTCTCGTGAGACCCACCTGGAGTGCTGCACATAGTTCTGGTGTCCCCAGCATCAGAAAGACGTGGAACTGTTGGAGCAAGTCCAGAGGAGGCCATGGAGTTGATCAGAGGACTGAAGCACCTTCCCTAAGAGGACTGGTTTAGAGAGTTGGGCTGTTCCTCTCGGAGAAGAGAAGGTTGTGTGGAGACCTCAGAGCAACCTGCCAGGAGCTGAAGGGGCTCCAGGAAAGCTGCAGAGGGAGTCTTGGTTAGGAACTGCAGGAATAGGACAATGAGCAATGGGGAGAAGTTGAAAGAGAAATTAGATCTTAGGCAGAAGTTGTTTCCTGTGAGGGTGGTGAGACACTGTCCCAGGTTGCCCAGGGAGGCTGTGGCTGCCCCAACCCTGGCAGTGTTCACAGCCAGGTTGGCTAAAGCCTCAAGCAACCTGCTCTGGTGGGAGGTGTCCCTGTCCAGGACAGGGGGTTGGGACTGGATGATCTTTATTCTCCGTTCTAACCCCTGACCATACTTTGACACTGTCTCTGGTTTGCCACCAGGTTGATCCCTGCTGATTCCCACCTCTCCCCTCTGCAGGATCCTTTCCCCACTGCTGGGAATGAGGGTCTCTCCTGCCCATCGGCTCTTGGCCTCACTCACTGCAGGTGAGTATCTAGCAGACAGAGTCAGGAACATCCATTGGTCCTTCCCAGCAAATCTTGGGAATGCAGATGTGGAAAACCCTGATGGGGGTCATGTTGGTTCTGCAGGAGAGCATGTCCCTGGGACAGACCCCACTGACTGGTCTCTTGGGGTGACACCCACCATGGAACAGTCCCTGCTCTCCTAATTCCTGTTCTATCCCTGTTTTCTGCCTGCAGGAGAGGTTTCCTGCTGGCAGTCGTTGGCTGAGCATCATAGTGCCTGCCATGGCCGGTGAGTCTGGGGTCGGGCTGTGCCAGGGCAATGCACCCCCTGGCTCTTTCCCCTCCAGCATGGCATTGCCTCCCTGATGGGACACAGAGGTGCCTGTGGGCTACCAGTGCCATGCTGTGGCATCTGTGTGCTGGTGGCAGCTGAGGCTTTAGGGCCTCAGGGTGGTTTTGGGGGGTCAGGGTGAGGTCCCACTAGGCCCTTTCCTGTTGGTGTCCTGCTGACCTGGCAGTTTCCATCTGGAGGTGTCCTGCTGATCCTGCTGGGGAAGCCCAGGGTGTGCTGAGTCCCCAAACCTCACTGTGGTCTCACCCTACAGGCTGGATTAGGCGCCTCCTGCACAAGCCCAAGCCCAGCTCGCTGCAGAACAGCCACTCTTCCTCCTCACCTTCCTCCTCCTCCTCTGCCAGGAGCTCCAGCTCCTCCCCCAGCACAAGTGTGACCACCAGCTCCATCCGCCCATCGCCCGTGTCGGTGCCGGACATCAGCGCCTCGGACAGCCCTCGGTGGGCCAAGAGCTATGACGTGTGCATCTGCCACAGCGAGGGGGACCTGGGGCTGGTGGAGGAGCTGGTGTCCTACCTGGAGGCTCAGCCCGAGAGCTTGCGCTGCTTCCTGCAGCTGCGTGACGCGGCGCCTGGCAGCGCGGTGCTGACGGAGCTGTGCGATGCCGTGCGCAGCAGCCACTGCTGGGTCATGCTTATCACCCCTGGCTTCCTCAGGGACCCCTGGTGCCAGTACCAGATGCACCAGGCCTTGGCCGAAGCTCCCATGGCCAACGGACGCACCATCCCGGTGCTGAAGGATGTGGATCGCAAGGATTATCCCAAGGAGCTGCGGAACATCTACTACATCTCCATGACGGAGAACAGCTTCAGGCAGATCAGGGACACCATTGTGCGCTGTGAGTATCCTCTAGGATGCTGAGGAGACATCGCTCCACTGGGATAAGGACCACGGGAAGGGACCAGATTCCATACATTTATGTAAACGGTTGATTTTTAGATTACTTGGTTGCTAATGGAGCTCATCTGCCTCTGCAGACCTCCAGGAGTTGTGCCGGAGCTCCACGAGCAGGACGGAGTAGTGCTGGGAGCAGGCAGACACATTCCCATGGGCATCATGGACCTGTCACCTCTGGATCTGGATGCGGCCACATCCTGATGGAGCTTGGGGGCAAAGCTAAGCTGCTCAGAGCAGCCCTGGGAGCCAAGGATGGGGAGTTTCCCACCTCCATGGGGTCAGCAGCCTGGAGCCCACCACATCCTGCTGATGTGACCTCCATCCCGGCAGCCCAACGCCCTCGGCGGGGACAGGGACATCCATCAGGCAAACACTAAGCTCTGACATCAGGAGTGTCTGAGGGTCTCCGAAGCAGCCCTGAGGCTCCTGTAAGCTGACATGACACGGGCAGGACAGGGAGGGGCGAGCGGTGGCTTTGTACGGGGTCGTTGGGACCAAGAAGAGCAGAAGTTGTGAAGTTGGGTGTGCTCTCGTTTTTGGCTGTGT